AGCTGCCTCATTTCTTTTTCTCCCTCCACTTCAGAGCAAATTGACACGTTTAACTGCTCTTCAATATTTGTTTTTCCCACTAAGTTATTTACCTGATAAATCCTATCCCACTAGGTTATTTACCTGATTAGGTTTCTCAAAGTAAATTTAATAGATTTTTTTTTCCTTTCCCAGTGAAGGTGAGTTCAACAGTTATGTAAGGCAGAGGCCAGCCAGCCAGAGCCTTGCCAGTACCCCTCAGTCCTGGCTTTCAACACAGTTGTTATTCCAGTAATGTCTCTCTCTCTTAAGTTGCAGCTGCCAACTCTGTTCAAATGTGTGGTGGTTTTCTGCTGTGGGCAAAGAGCCACCAAGACTGAAGCTGGATCCATGAAACTTATTTCATGGCCAAATGCCGATTCCTTTAACCATAACTCTCCATAGGTAATAAATGGTGGAAGTATGCCACAAAGCAGCTTTTTTTGCAGGGGGAGGGAGGTAGGCACCTCTCTGTGCTGGAATACGAAAAAGTTTGTTGCCCCAAAGCAACAAAGTTATGTTCTAGTAGTCTGGGGAAGAAAAAAAAGGTGCCACCCCCAACCTTTTTTTTTTTGGATTGCTTTTTTCTTGGATGAATTTTAAATGGCTATTTCTGAGGAAACTACTTTTATTCCAAACAAGGATTCATCTGTCTGCTTCTGCAATGATTAAGCCTGCACCAAAAGGGAAACAAAACTCACCCACATTATTCCTGTCTGCATGGAATTTACAATAATGAAAAGAAAGCACCTCAGCCATTTGCCATGGGGCGTCTGGAAGGCTTGTGTTTTCACTTACTAAGTAGCTCCTTAAGGAGGGCAATTCGCATTTCCCCTGGAAAAATGTCTGCAGACAGCAGGGTTGGCCAGCAAGAGATGTGACCTCCTCAAAATCTACTCAGTGTTTCAGTAAGGAGTAAAGACCAAATCTGGTGGTGGAAGACTGGTTACTAGAGTAACAAACTAGGTAATTTGCTTTTATCATACATCCCCCTCACGCCACTGTCATCAGTAAGGTTGCACAGATTAAAACTGGTGGGATGATTTAATTGTGTGTGTGTTATGATGAGTGCAGCTGCCTACTTTCTATACAGCAGATATAAGGATAACAGTCTCTATTCTGTATAAACCAGTATTTATTTCTACACTCAAGTTTCTCTTCTAGTTGGCAGACTTTTTTCCTTCTGTACTAATCTTAGAGCCTGATATGGGAACATTATTCTTTCCAGGATAAATTCATAAAACTCAGTGCTCTGCCATGTAGAGGTTACTGACTTAGCTTTGGATGAGCTAGTTAAGATGTGAGAACCAGTTAAGTTGCCTTAACTTTGGACTCTTCCAAGCTAGTATGCAATTCTTCCCAGCAGAGTTAATTAGCTGAGGCACCCAACCAGCAATTTTCACAGCAAACTAACCCAATTATCTCTGCATGATATGACATTGTGTCATGTCTGAGCCCAGAATTTGTCTGTCTACATATGGGAAAAATTAACCACAGGTTGTGACATTGAAAATAGCAGCGAGCGCTCTAGGGAGAGAGATAGTTCCCTTCTGCCCTTCATAATATGAATATCTGGACCAATAACCACATAGTGAGTACTCTGCTATATGCTCAATTTTTGCACCAACTATCATTTTTTTAGGTCAAAATCATTATAAGTAAAGGGCATGAGGAGCCCAGGGTTCTAACTTCCAGAATGTAGCATAAAGCAAAAGCTTTTTGACATCCAGTTCAGCATTATCTAGCAATTTTGTCATGGTCGAGTGCCCTCACTAACTTGATAACAGCTCCAATTTAAGCAGCACAGTGCAGATTTTCCACCTTGCACTGGAAGTGCTGATGAGCTACTGGTGGCTCCAGAGGGACTCGGAGATTCAAGGGAAACCTCTGACAACACACTTTTATTGACAGTGTGGTATTTTTATGACCTGAATTACTATACTACCTCAGCTTCTTATTGTACTTACAAATTTATTCTTCTTGTTCCTAAGAAGTGAGGAAGCACTTCTCTTCCCATTTTTCAAAGGACAATGGATGTGCAGGGATGTTTAAAGTCTTAGCCAATGCCAGGCTCAAGAAATCTGTGATAGATTTAGGATCTGAACACTGATCTTCAAAAGGCTAAGGTGGGCCACACCTTCTTCTGTGACAGTTACAAAAGTTGTATTGCTTTAACTAGTATAACATATAGAAGTGTAAAGAAACAAGCACAATATAAAGCATCACACTTGGATTATAAATATCCATCACTCCAATGCTGAAGGATGAGGCACTAAACTGATTCTTTTGCTCTTAACCTCAGGTTGAGCAGTATCTAGTCAGTCCATTGAAAAGTTACCTACTTTTACTATAGCCATTGTAAGCGTTTAGGCATTTCTTTATTTCCTGCTTTCCAGCAGGAAGATAGGAATAGAATAAGATTTTCACTGCAAACCTCTCTTCTTCAACCTTTATAGAAAAAGAACCTCATTCACATAATCCATGTTACCTCAAGGAATGTGGACTCAGAGTAGCAAGCCTAGGTTTACTCATAAAACCCTTTACATTTGAAGCTAACCCAGAACCAGTAGTATAACCTAGATACAGACCTTTTCTGACAAAAGCAGCTGTTACCATTTTAGAGTACTTCTTGATAATGTACAGTTCCAAGTATGGACTGGTCTTATGTCAAAGATCCCTGAAGAAATACAGTCAGTACTCCAGAATCCTGTGTTTCTTTTCTTACTAAGTAATTATCCTCTTGCAGTTGCTGGGACTTGCCCTCTAGATTTCTGTCAGCACTGTGTCACTGTTACAGTAAATGACAGCACGACTGTTTTAGCACATTTTAAAGACCGTGCAGTCAAGGAAGATGCCCCTGTCTGAAGGAACGTTGTGCTTTGTTCACTAGTTACGCCCACAGACGTTATAATGTCAGCTTTGCATTGATCAACTTTGTGTTTCGTTCTCTTAGAAATTCAATTCCCTTGTAAAACCTGAAATTGGACACTACATGATGCATTCAGCACAAAGTCTTAGACCTTTTAGGTTGCATGATTTCTGGCTCCTGCTCTTCTGTACAGAGTCCAGTGTGAAAGGAGAGGTACCAGAATGGACACCCTCTGGCTTTACAGCACTACCAGAACCGCACACATTTCTGTGATAAATCAAGACAGTGGAGATTGTCTCCAGTATCAGAGTATTGTCTCAGAGCAACTGTATAATGTTAGTTTCTACTTCCCATACCTCTTACAGAGCCAGTTGTGGGATATCCACTTGCACTTAGAATAACCTCAGTTCTGTACATGATTTGGGATACCTTGGGGTGAAATGTAATATCCTATATTATATATGACACTACAGTCCTTAATTTGTTAGAGACACTGAAGAATAATAATAGCAGGCGAAATATTTTTAAATACAAGAGATGTAACCTCTGAGAGCCAGTCACACCTTTGGCATGACCCCTTGGAGTCATTTTTACATTCCTAGCAGTTTCCTTACAGAGCACAGCATATGTTCTCGTTCTTGCACATGCATATACTACAAGACTTAGGTAAGAATATATGTAATGGAAATAAGATCTTGTTCTGCTCACTGCTCCCTGCTCCTAAAGAATCATTTGCATTACAGATGATGCCAAACTCCCAATTTTGGACTGACTTATTATAAAAATGCCAAACCAAATGATGAATCAACCTGTGCAGACGACTTTCATCTTCAGGTAATTTTTTTGTTCTCAACTACCCCACCCCCACCCCCCTGCTTTTTTTTGTGCCTAATGGATAATGACATTTGCATCGATATAACTTCCTTAGAACGACAGTATTAGGAACTCAATTGTATTTAAGCTGTAGATTATAATTGGCATGATAAAGGATCACAAGTGTATCTTTTCTGTCAGCTTGTTCCATTAAGAACCTCTAACCATGGATCATTGATGTAACAGATCATTACGGCCCATTGTGTCAGTTCATCTGTTGGGATCTGTGCACTATAAGCATGACAGATTTCCTCTGCAGCAATTATAGTCTATTGTGACAATAGGATTTAATGAATATAAACAACAAACCACATAATCTGTTATTACAGAACACAGCTATGCACCCAGATGGGAATTAAGTTCCTAGACGTTGCCAGTTGCAGTTTTTAAAATTGTGACTATTTCAGTCTTCATGTTATTAGATGCAATGCTCTAATTTACAGCATACATTTATCTCAATCCTGGCAGGTGAAAGGTCTTCAGCATTTAAAGCCTAATCTTGCAAGTGTTCTGTGATTTCATTTTTTCTGAGTAAACATTATCTTTTGGGTTTTTAGACACTTACTCCCTGTCTTTTGCTGTGATACTAATCGTGCTGTTAATGTTTCAGCACTAGCATTGAAGATGAAACAAGCAAATACAATAAAATTGGTCACAGAAATTAATGAAACATAGCAGATCATTCCTGTATTGTTTCCAAAGAATAGACACTTCTGCTTAATATTAATTTTTACAAATGATGGGCAAAGTGCTACGCTGGTGCAAATCTATAAAATCACAATGGTTGAAATTTTGCTGATTGATGCAGCTGAAGGTCTGACCTAGAGGCATATGATATATATTTGTGAAATTGATACTCTTTTTCAAAGCACATAAATGCTCCTTTACATTAAAGGTGTGCAGTCTACAAAAGTTCACATTTTTCCCAGGCTGATTTTAAAAATCTGGCTTGATTACAGAGATTTTCAGCTTTTGAATATCAGTTCTGGACTTGAGTACCTCAGAGATTACAGTTACAGTGTTGGTACAGCTCTATTGTCATCTATGTAGATGGGCACTACTGGAATATATATATATATATACACACACGCACACTTTGTTTAAGTAATTGACAATTCACCATAAAGAATAAATTAATGTGAATCACTGCAGCCATTATCATGTACTTTAGAGAAGAAATCCCCAATTAAACATACTTCCACATATTTGTATCAAAAGGGGAAAAGACTCTTACCCTTACCTAGCATGCGAACACATTTGGCATTCTGGTCAGGACTATCAAATGAGATTTCCCCGCACCTCTGAAAAAAAAAAGGATATATTTAGTTAAAGACTCTGTGATAGTATCCCTGTCCTTGTCCTCTGGTACCTCTGTTTATGTTTGGCACTAGAGATGTTCAGAGACATGTTTAAAACGTCAAAATCGCAAGATTTTCAAGTAGCCAAAGTGTGAGGAAGAATTGACATTGTTAATGTGCAAAGATGGATCAACACTGTATTCCAAGATGTTCGCCAAGAAAAACTTAAGGTAATGCCTATTACCTTTGTATCTATGGCTTAAGCAACTGCCTGATCCATGTTGCTGTTTGTTAGCATCAGACCCAATTATACAGGAGGCCTCATTTGCCACTGGTAGACATTGCAGCCCTCTCCAGTATACTGATTTAGTTGTCACATGGCTGCACCCTAAGCAGGACCTGCAAAATGATCCAACTGAAAACAAAACAAACAGCAATGCTGATTCAATAATTTGTATTTCTGTAAAACAAACTTATTTAAAAAAATGCACAACTCAAGATATTTATTAAGGAAAACTGTCACTTCACAAAATTTGAACTCTCCATAACACCTATGAGTAAAATTGCTTTTTGTAAAGTGTAAATAATTTACATCTCTATGCTAACATGTTTTGTTAATGAAAAATAATATTCACATGTACATACATATTATGAGGGCTGATGTTCTGTCCCTATACAAACCCAGTGAAGGAACATCGTTAGAGTTAGGATCAGAATACAAAAGTGTTGGGTTGTTTTCAAAGATAAGACATCATTTTTGAGTCCTTCATGCAGACAGGCATGTCAATTTAGCTGCCAGGAGAAACATAATTGGTGTGGCTCATGGGTCTGATCCAGCTCCGATTAAAGTCAGTCAGTGTACAGATCCCACTCACTTCAGTAGCAGTTGCTTCAGGTGCTACAAAAAAGATTCAATTTTGTATCACTACACTCAAAGCTCATGATAGGGGCTTAAGGATAGCCTCATATTTTATCGGTAAAAGTGGTCCGTACTTCCTTATCTACATATTTCTGGTTTTGGTATCTATGACCAAACGGGAATAAAAGCACAGTGGTTCAAGTCTGGAAAAATCACTGGGAGCTATCCATTTCCCTTCCTTTTCTTTTCTCTCTCTTTCTTAGGCAGTTTCTCCTATTCAGCACCTATGGCTTTCTCTCTTATGTAAGACAAAGTGGTTAGTACTGTCTTTTTCTCTTTTTTTTTTTTGTTAATAAAAGTGACATTTGCAGCAAATATTAAAACCGACAAAGAATCAGGTAAGTAAAAAACGCCAGAGCTTCAAAGAAGATGAAACACAGCAACAGTGTCATAAATGAACATCACATTTGGAACTCACTATTTTAAAAATAGCCTTCACCTCCCTCACACCGAAATAAACACAAACAAACAAACAAAAGCCCATCTCCCACACAGAGTCTTTTCGTGTATCAGTACATCTAAAAAGAGAAAGCAGACGTGCCTGTATTAACCTTCCTAGGTGGGAGCATATACTCTGAAAGATTGCAAAAGAAAAACAACACCCATCATTTCAAAGTTAATTTTACGAATGCTCTTATACCAGCTCCCTGTCAGGAGACACAGAAATTTGCTATTTATTCTTCTAGGAAGAAAGTTAAGATATGGGTATCTTTTCACAGAAATCTCCCAGCGTCTTCTTCGTGACCATAAGTATACTTAGACAAACACAGATGTAAGAAAGCACGTCAAAATTCAGTGCCCACCTCACCCCTGAATTTCTGCTGCTCTTTGAAAACCTTTGGTTATTTTTTATTTAGTCCCTCAGATGTATTGTATGTTCCAGACATATTTATATAAACATCACATTTCAGGCTGGCAAATGATGTCTTACAATATGTAACAATACTCACCAGTCCTAGTGTTATGAAATTGGGAAAACGGCTAATGTTCTCCAGAGTCCACTAACATCCCACAGGACCCATTATGATGATGGATGAACTCTGAAAACTTTGCAAATAAGATTCAGACAACTGTATACAAGTTCATAGCCTTATCTGAATTCCCTTAACCCCTGCAACCCACAGAACTGGCTGAAAATCATGCTAGAACAGTCAGCCTAGGAGATTTTTCACTACTACCACTGCAGCCAGAAATACCAGGAGAAAAAGCTTCTGCAGCAATTTAATTTCTGATGCCAGTAAAAGCTCATAGGTACACATCAATGGGATGAAAAGTAGGCTGTTACCAAACTGCTCAGAGCATCTGAAAAAGACTTAGTTGGATCCTGGATGTGTAAAGTGGCACAGAAAGGCAGCAGGGATTCATTTTTGCTCTTTCAAAAAATAGAGTTGTTTGGGCATTTTTGCTGTTAGCAAATGTTTTCCATGAACAAGAAGTAAGGAATGACTTCAGGATTTAATCTTTAGGATTAAACTGAGGCTTTGCCACCACTGCTATGAATTGCTATGAATTCCTGCCAGGTTTGGAGAAGCTTCTCCTGTCCTTTTCCTGTTCCGGCTTTTTGGTTTGGGTTTGTTCTGCCTGCTTGTGTATCGGGGCTGGTACTGAGAGATGAGGCCAAGAGTCTCTCCAGTCCCAATCCATTTCCAAACTAGTCCCAAAGCAGCTGCTCATTCTCTCCTGAAAGTTTCTAAGTTGGCTACAGAGTCGCTACTGGATCCATCAGAGAGCAGGAATAGGAATTTGCCATTAGATGCTGGTTATTCTACTTTTTAATTTCAACCAGTCAGAAAGCAGAGAGAGGAGGAAGAATAACCCTGGACATATCTGCTGTACATATGCAGACCTATTGCACACGTGTAGATCATCACATACGTCTGTTGGGAAGCTGAGAGAGAAATAGAACATCTCTTTTAAAGACTGGCTAAGCAGCCTCTAGAAGCTGCTGCTTATAAGCAGCACTAGCTGTATTCATAGGAGTCAGGTCTGGAAGAAGATATCAGTTTTCTGTTCCTGTTTTAGAGAAGTAAGAGTCTCAATGGTGAGCTGTAAAGACCAAACATATTATCCAGTTAGGAAGAGCAATGAACTCAAACAGGAGAGCTGCCTCTGAACTTCATTTCTTGAAATCTACGATGAGGATGGATTCATAGTCCTGACCTATATTTGAAGCTCATTAAAGTTCCAAGATTTCACTCTCTAAAAACATGTTAAATCATATTCTTGGATCTAAATCATCCCTGAGTTTGGGATATTTTAAATCTCAGTTTGGGCTTCATGGTTAGGACTACTACAGCCCTGGCAGGACTGGCTCTGCTGTATGTAGTCCTGGATGTTGGGCTGGTGAGTTTACAGAGGCAGCCCTGCTGAAAATAATACTACCGGTTTTCACTTCCCCTGAGGTGAGAGAGGATTTGTTGTTGAAAATCTTAAAACACTGCTGTGTTTGGAAGTGGTCAGATTTAACAAAGAAGTGGGTAAATACAAATAAAATTCACCCCTCCAAATCTTCACTATACCTTCATATCTCTTGAATCACTGAATTCTGGACTAGACTGTGGGTTTTTTTTCTCTTTCTGGAGAAGAGGAAAGCATAGTTACTTTCAGTTAATAATATTTTCAGTAATACAGATATATTTCCACATAGGATTGCAGCCTGCAATTCATTATGTGAGAAAGTATTTATATTTATGTAAGAAAATGAATTAATAAATTATCTACTCTCAGCTCCCTTTTTTGAGATCAGATGCATGCCATGATGCTGAGGCTGTCACACAAGCTGAAATGTAGTAAACTAGAATGGGACTCTCAAGTCCCCCATGGAAAAAGAGACCGAATCACGGAGCGGCTGAAAGTGGAACTTAAAAAAAACTTAAAAAAATGAGAGAGTTGCTGTTAGAAAATAGGGATGAAAGGACACGATATTCAGAAGAAATGTGACAGGAACTCAGGTCCTTTGATGAGCTAAGTAAACTGGAGAGCTTGAAGCCTGCCTGGTTGGCTATGATGGCCCAGTACCACCTGTCGGAAAAGGGAAATACCGTATTACACAGGCACCATCCTCCATAGCAAAAGACTGCTGGAGGAGGGTGCTCTCAGGCAAGATGACCTCTTTGCAAGATACTATGAGGAGTACACAGGAAAACAGGAAGTCTTTTGCAAGGAGCCCTGTGCCAAAACAGTGTAAGTAAAACTGCAGAAAAGTAAGGCACAACTGGCAGAAAAAAAGTTCATGCAGAGAGCAGATGGAAAATCTACTCTAGTCAGTTGTACTAACGCAGTAATGCATCTCATATTACTTCTCCAGTATTATGTGATCATTCACAGGCTGGGTTTCCATTTCCAGCATGCCTGGGCTCACACCACCTGCATTTGAGGATTTGAGATATGTAGGAATAAACAGGGTGTATATACCCCAGACAGAATATGCCCTTAGGTTTTTTTTTTTTATGTTGTGGAGAAAACTGTATGAAAAAAATATTTGTGAAGTCGTTCTATTCAACTTCTATCTGTATGGTAAATGAAAGCATTACACATTTTAAGAAGAGAGATGCAAATCAAGTAGTTGAAATAAATAGGGCTAAATTCTTACCTATGACAAAATTCAGCAAGTAAAGATCTGAAAGTGTTTGTCATCATGAGAATTGCAGTAAGTGGCATGTTAATGTTCTACTTATTAAATGCCTATAATTAACATTTAACTATTTTAATAATTTTAGAGTGTATGGTGTTTTAAAAATATAGTAAGAGTTTTTCTGGCACGAAATTTGAACATGCACAATTTTGACCTTTTTAAACTGCAGACAACCAAGTTTTGAAAAGCCAGCTTAGTCAGTTAAAAGTTTATTGGAGTAGGAACCATATTTATAGGCTTCTTCACTCTGTTCTGTTCTGTTCTGCACATCCTGGGTATGGTGTTCAACACATATGTCTCTTCCAACATTGCAATAATCAATGAGGTACTTGATGTACATGATCAGCCAAACATGACAATAAAGATTGGATAATTTTCTTTTTGCAGGAGGTAACAGGGATTATTATACCTCTAAATACAGGAGATGTGTTAATTGCACATCGATTGCAT